AGGTTACACAGAATAACTTCAGAGGCTGCAGTTCCCAGTGCTTCCCCTGCCTCGCCTGGCCGAGGCCATGCGTGCTACTAAGGAGTCAGGAGAGGAAAACGGAGAAGAAATCAAGCAATTATATTGTTCAGACCACTCAAACTCCAAGGGAGGTGGGAATTATAAACTTGGGATGCTCCAGGATCTAAGCCTATACGCTTCTGGGAAGGAAGGGAAGAGGGAAAAAAAAAAATAAAAAAATCTCACCCTTTATATTGAAACCCAAACAGAAGCAAAATGTGACATCACTGCAGCCCAACACCCAGAGGCTTTCCATGCTCTGCTTTGGCACTTGCTCATTCTTCAACCTTTCTAGTATGCCACTCTTCTAGCTTTCCAGGATCCATGTTAAAAATAAAATAAATTGTAAAGAAGCCACATTTAGCCTTTCTCAGATCAGTGCCTGTGCAATTTACGGGAGTAGCAGGTTAGACTGACCCAGCTATAAATGAGAAAGATACATCACAGCTGGACATCTTAACCAGCGTGGAAGCCTTTGCCAAGCTTCTCCAGGCTTTTGAAACACAACCTATGATTTCCAACAGCGTTTCTACCTTTCTTTTCCCCCTCCTAACAGCATAAGAGAAAACAACTTGCCTACTCATCCTACTACTACGCATTGGAGGGGCATCCCTGCTTCCTTGCTCCAACCTAAGAAGATGTCTCCCTTTCATCAAAGCTATTTCCAGAGCCTATTTACTGGTTCATTCAAGTCTAGACTTTCTAATTTTGCAGTGTAATCCGTAGTTCAGTCACCCATGAAAGTGCTGAACAGCCTGCAATTGTGTGCAAACCAGTGCCACGGCTTGTATTGCCCGAGCCCAGGTGCAGTCGTTAGCGATGGCACGCAGGACTTCCACGGGAGCCTCGTTAAACCTGCCAGGAGCATTTGCCAGAAAAATATGACTCTTCCTCCCCTTTAAATACTTGAATTAAATATCATCGTCCTAGGTTTGACTTCAGAAAGCGACAAAAGCAGGGACCTCGGGGAGGAGACAGACACAGCATAGGAAGTGCTCAGCTGGAAGGGAACTCCAGCTTCTCTTTACCCATTTTAAGAGGGTTTGGGCAGATGCTGGTGCCAGCACAGCTCAGGCAGCAGCACAGGAGAGGGGGAACTCCTGTCCTCAACCACCAGAGCTCTTGCATCAGCTCACACCAGCCCACAAAGTGAGCCCCAGCGAAGGAACCCGTGTCGAGCCAGCCGCAGCATCTGGCCTTCAGCACAAGGACGCAGGCACAGGCTGCCCCGGAGTCACGGCCGAGCCAATGCCCCAGGGAGACTGAAGCGACCCAGAAGAAACATCTTCCCCACCCTCGAGATAAAAAGATTTGCTTTCTCCCATGACTTCCACATTTACCGAGTGTACTTTGTCCCACAGGAGCTGCAACCAGCTGAGCTATCTGCAAGAGTGGCACACCTCGCCTGCCGTACGGCTTCACCGACACCAGCTGAGGCATTCCTCAGGCACATGTGTCCCTGTTCCAGGCTCCCACACCTTCTCCTCTCACTCTCAGCCAAAGCAAACTCCTGGCAGTACTGCCCCCGGGGCTTTCCACCCCAATGGATAAGCTCAGACCTCCTCGTCTTCAGCTGGGCAGCAGGCTGCAGCCCCGGGCACCCAACCGCGCTGAGCTGGCAGGTGCAGGACGCCCGTCCTTCCTCCTCGGTCACGCATGCAGCAACAAACACTGGGACAAAAGACACTGAAAAAAATAACTACAATCTACACTCTTTTCTACGTGTAACCGCTGGGCAGGCCATACGTCCCTGCCCAAGCATTGCAGCCAGAGTGCTCCTTAGCACCTCCCCACCATTTCTCCCTCCGGGAGATTTTTGTCTCCATTCCCAGCACTCTCCTCCAACAAGGGGTGGCCTGTTTCTGCAGGAATCTGCCCAGTGAACACAGCAGGATGTCTAACCAGCGTAGTACAGCAAACAGCTCCAGCTCTGTGCATCAGATGGCTACCAAGCGTGGCATATTAGAAGCCACTTTTCCCTCATGGGCAGAGCTTTCCGAGGACCTTGCTGGTCCTCACCACACAAGAGGGTGCCAGCTGCTCAGAAGCACAGGAACCCATCGAAGGTTGGGTACTGGGCAGAAAATCGCTTCTGGAGGATGGTAGAAGCTCCCCCCGCTCCACATCACCATGAAACAAAAGCCTTCCAAAGCCGTGTGTGTTTGTTCAGTGGAAAAGGGTTAACTGCCTTCCATTCTCCTAGATGAAGCAATGACCCACAGCACCAGGGAAGAGAAAGCCCTTGGTTCACTTCTCCTCTCAGCAGCACCATCACCTGCGCCAGGGCTGTCTCTTCCTGCAAGGTCGCTAAAAAACTTCACCTGAAACATCATCTTTTCCAATCAAACTACAGCAGCTGCAGGAAAACTTTTCATTTTTACAAATCAACATCCAAAAGTGGCTTCTTTTGCCTGGAGCTGCTTGGGACTTGTCTAGAGGCTGTACCTGGGAGGCCACGAGAAGCTAGCTCACTACAACACTGAGGAAAGCCCACAGAGGAGCACAGGTGGCTCGGGCTCACTCCACACCTTCGGGCAGACAGGTAGGAACACCAGCATTAGGCTGCGAAGAGCAGCGCGGTTTGAATGGCCAGGGCAGCTCAACCCTGGAAGCTCTGTGTTTTGAAGACAGCGCTCTGGTGCTCTTCCCACTCCCGAAGCACCCAGGACTGCTATTTACAATTTCCCTCAGGCAGGCCATAAATCCAAGCCCAACTAGCAAGCCTGACCCAGTGCAAAAGGGTCCCTGTGGCAGGCTAATTACCTTTGCAGGCTATGCAAAGCCTACACAGTTTGCTTCTGCACAGCAGCTTTGAAAACTTCGCTCATGACTGTGTCTGGCAGGTCAAACTTTCCACTTTCTGTTGTTCTGCTCAGGGCAGGCAGCCGGGAATTCAGGGGCAACAAACCTCCAGGGGAAGAAATCAAGGCCATTAAGAGAAAGGGAAGAGGGGCTGTGAAACAGAAGACGACTCCACAACGGAGCACAATGGCATGCTATAGACTGTCGCAGAAAGGGAAAGATAGTAAATCTAAATTGAGAGGAAGCCTAACAGATTAGGGGTACTAAAATCAAAACCAACAACTCAGAGAACAAAAAAACCCTGTTCCTTTCATTCCCTTGACACTTTAGGGATTGTTTCCCATGACTCTACACCAAGATGACGACTGTTTTTTTTGTTTAAATGAAAATGTTTAATAAAAAGAGATCCACTCCCCTCACCTCCTCAGCCAGAAGATTTACCAGAGATCTTTCACATCTCCTCACTTCCATAGAAGCACACCGACATTCAGGCTGCAGCTAATTTCACGCAGATCTCTCCTAACACCCAATAGCTCTATTCATGCATTGTCTACACAGACAGCTGCCCCATTTGCAATGGACACAGAAACGCAGTGGTTATAGCAAACACTTGATATATAGGGGGGAATCAGACTCGAATCCTTGCTCTGGATCAAGCAGAGCATGAACTAACCAGCATCTCCCATTTGATGAACGAAAGCCTCAGCTGGTGAGCTGCTCTCTGATCTAAGGTGACACATGAACTCTCTCTGATCTCAGAAGGTCCATAATGAACCTTTTACTTAAATAGACATTTCCCCACAAAAATCTTCCGTTGCAGTGACTCTCTTAAAAGTGGAAAAAAACCCCAACCCACCGACCAAGAAAAACTAACATGTTGCATCAGGCTGTGAAAAATCCCAACAAGACTAATTTCCAGCTGAATGTCATACTGGTAATGGCTGAAGTCCCCTCCCATGGGAACCACACAGGTTAAAACACTTCCCAATAAAAGTGTAATGTCTTTGGTCGTGTTTTTGCTGAAAAATTCTCAGTAGAGATTACATGACATCACAGCAAGAGATGAAAAATAAAAAGGTATCTCGGGTACCATATCAGCTATAATGAAGAAATGCAATACAGAACAAACTCTTGTACACTCTAGCGGGGCTTCTTTTGCCTTAGTGCACACTGAAATCAAAACAAAATGCTGTGGAACTTAATCCTACGAAACACTCCATGCAGAGTAAAGCTATTGTGGCAAATCTTGACAGGTTAGATACCATCTACGTTCGGAAGTAAATTAAAATTTATGAAGATCCGTACAATAACTTCCAGGATATAGCCAGACGACTCTTCCAGAGTCATAATAAAAAGAGGGAAATTTTGTGTTTTCCTCCGTTGGTGCGGTACTACCTGTTAATTACAAACAGCCGAGGAAGCACAAGTGGATGGAGCTTTCAGGAGCGTATCCAAGGGATGTAGATTGGGCTGGTGGCATCACTCGTGCTCTCCTAAGGCAAGGCCTTGGAAAAGTGTTTGAGTGTTTTGGCTACAAGTTTACCACTCACCACAGATATGAGCATGTAGATATTTCTTACAAGCTTTCCCTCTAAGTTTCTCTCATTTTTTTCCCCATGAAACAGACAAAAATAACAAAACCTAAATAAAATTGTCAATGAAAGGACTTCAGGCTCTTCTCGCATGTTTTTGCTGTACTTTACAATCCTGAGGGAGGAACACAGGATCTCCTGCTGCAAGTACCAGAGGAATTTCTGAAAAAGTGCCAGAATACATACTGCTAGAGACAGCAAAAGTGGGGAGTGTCCTACTGAGCTCAATGCTGCAAGGTGAAATTCACTCCCATTACACATTATGGCCATGACACAGATGACTTCTAGGTTCAAATTACAACAAGCAAACCCAAAACACCTTATAACTCTTTCAAAATGAGCTCTCAAAGAGCTTCACAGACTGCTCTGTAGCAACCTAAAGAGCGAGCTGCGCAATCCCTACCTCCATACCAAAATTCAGGCTAAAGATTTTTCGGTCCATACAATTCCGGTTTGATCTGTTCGGATGAAAGTGGGAAGCCAGAGAGCAGAAAAATCACATACTCAATAAAGACACATTTGGATGGGCGATGAAGGAATACTCACGCAGTGCGTAGAGGGAGAGGACTATTCCAGCCAGGCAAAACCCCTCAAAAAACCTGAGTGTGCTGAACATGGTCACGTTCACTGAGAGTGCCACAGTCAGTCCAAATATCAAAATGAATATGACAGAGAAGAGCAGCACAGGCCGTCGACCAACCCTAAAAATGAGGAGATAGGGAGAAACGGTGTTAAAAGCCAGGATGGGCATAATGATAGATGGACATAACAACTAGCAAAGAAGGGAACAAGTCATGCGATCCATTCCAAATATTACCATCCATTTCTAATGCTTGTTTAATTCTCTCATTTTTTTCTGCTTACTAAAACCCAGATTCCTCCATCAGCTTTGCACTGACAAGTTGATTTCAAGGGATTAAGTGGAGACAGCACATGATGTATTACAGTTTGATTTAAACATCATTTTCAAAACACCAAAGGTGAACAACAAAACATCTAGGAACTATAGGAAGACCATAAACAAATACCTTAGAGATTATAAACAACTTCTGAGAGTTTTCTGTAGTAGTACAGTAGAGTATATGCTATTACATGTTATATATAGCATGGTATATCATTATTTCTCCATAGTATACAGCCACAGAGCTTACTGCAGAGCTCCCTTCTCAACAAACGTGCTTCTCAGCCTCATTTGCAAGAGAAGCAGGCTCAAAAAACTACTTTTCTTGCCCTTGTTGTCGAGGGCAAGCCTAACAAACACAGACCAAGCATTAAACAGGGCTCGTGTCGCTTCCCTGAGCCTTAGAGAGCTGACAGTAACGCTCGCAGGAGAAGAGTGAACTTCCAAGACCCTCCACAAAACCAGCCCAACTGGAGGACTAGGAGGGAACCACTCCAAAAGTGATTGCTGGCAATGCAGGCATGAGGATTTGCAGTCCCCCCTTGCATGAGTCTTCGCAGCTCCAACCTGTAGTTGCACGCGTTGGTGCAGCACTGACAAGAAGGAAGAGCTATGCTGCTGCAGAACGTGAAGGCACTCACTGCAGAGTTTGGTTTTTTTAAGTCAAAGGAACACGAGACTTTTACATCTCTTACTCGTATGCTTAGTGTTTATAATTCCCCTTTCTCCCCCCATCTTCCTGTGCAAGGAGAATGACACCAAGCACCAGAGCACACAGCTATTTTTAAGCAAGAATTGGATCATTATGTGGAGATTTCCAAATTTTTTCAACTTGTCAACTCCCACAATTTTTCCAGTGGAACTAAGGATCCCTTTTAGTCAGCTCCATATGCCATTCTCACAAAGAATATATGAACTTGCTTTTCGTAGGCAGCTTCCACAGACCCATTCAAAGCAGTCTGTCAGCTGCAAGCCAGCCATCAGGTTGAATGTCAGCACAATAAAGAGCATTTAAATCTCACAACTTAGTCCAGTTCCACATACAGAAGTGTTTCTATTCAATTATTTCAGCAGATTGTTACCAGCAGCTATAAAGTAGATCATACATATGCATTCACAAGTAAAACTTTGGATTTTGCTTTACTTAAAATGGAACAAGATCAATAAAATACGGGGTGAAGGGCTGAAAAGGAGACATGGTTATAATTTTTGAGAACAAGAAGAGTGCACCAACATGCGTGTTCATGCTTTTTCAAAGTCACACCTAAGGTGGCAATGTCATGGCTCCTTGCACGAGGACAGCTTTACTATTTTTTTCAGCTGTAGCATCACCTGTAGGGCACCTCAAAGATTTAACTTGCTGGCATTAACCATTCAGCATTTGTAAAACAGAAAGTACCAATATGCAAACTGAAGACAAGCAAGGTCAAAGCTGACTGTTCTTGGTCAACATACTAACCCAGCCCACCAGAAGATGAGCCGCTGTTGAGCTCAGGATGGGAACACAACATCACTGCCTCGGTGATATGCAATACACTGGGAACATGCTGGACACTGCTGTGCCTCAGATTTTTTATTTATGGAACACAAAGCACCCAGGCAGGGAGGGGAAGTACATCATACAAAACCTTGAATACAGAAAAAAACCCCATGAACTTCATGTTATCATTGATCTGTGCACTTTCGCAGCCCTATTTCTGTAATTGCTAAGCTGTAATTCATACTAATTAGTATTTGTGGAAGTGTTTTGGAGATGAAAGGCATTATGCAAACACTCAGAATTAGGAACTTAATTCTCATCACAAGCCTGACCTGCCATTCCCTAATGTTGATTAAAAATGACCTCACGCTTAGTATGCATCAGGTCCCTTCTTACCCTCCTCCCACTCTCTTTACTTGAGGTTATCCATCATTAGGACACAGAATTTCTTCTAGCATTATGCAAGTTATGCAAATGAGTGGTTGCTGCTAAAGAAGAATCAGGAAATCCAAGACCCTCCTGGGCCTGGGAAAGCCAACTGAGGCCAGACAAGCCCTCTGGTAAGAGGTATCATCGGCACCTCCTCCCAGACACAAAACTAGGCTCCTTCCTCACCAAGGTAGGCAGCAGACTCCTCAAAAATCGAAACTCCAGGGCAGCCATCACCCATATATTTGGTGATCTGGCAGTGTTCTGAGAGGATGGCATCTTACAGTATGAAAGAAATCTTTTATACGTAGACAGTGTTATCTGACTAACAGTACATAAAAGCACTGTGAGAAATTAAACCATACACAATCCCTCTAGTAAAACAGCCCCGGGACGCTATCTGCTGCCATCCAAACTATTCCAGAGAGAGATTTCTGTGCCACAAGAGTCTCAGCCTACAATGCATACTATTATCCAGATCAAATGCTAAATGCTGCCTGCACAGGTAAATAACTAGGGATACAAGCAACCCAAGCTTTTGAAGAATCTGCAATTCACAGTGTGATACGCAGATGCATCCAAAAGATACTCCTAACGCCATCAGAGTCGCACCACAGGGGAAAGTGAATGGGTTTGAGGACAAGACCTGCTCTTCCCACGCTCCTGCTCATGTACCTTGCCACCCTGAGAAGACTAAGCTTTGTACACCGTTCTGTGCAGGTTTGGGGCCTGGAAATGGCACAAAGGCTCCATAAAGCACCAGAGCAGGTGCAAAGCAGGAGCAGTACCGGGCAATGAGAGGCAGAGACCTACTGTCTTGGTGCTACATGAACATGAAGCCCATCTGCTCCAGAAGAAAGCCTTCCACAGAGACCTCAGCAGCCTCTGCCCAGAGCAGGCAAAACTGGCAACACTCCATCTGCTGAACGAGTGACTTATTCAGGCATCGGACACAGTCGGTCGTCACACAACCAAACACGTTTACAGACCTTCTTCCTATAGATTTTCCACACAGAGCTATCCCAAGCGCGCACACCTTTTGAACACAGACCGCCCAGTTTACTTAGTGAATTACCTTAATACGCTCTATGCCTTTGCCGTGCAGAGCTTTAAAAGCTTTCTTTCAAAAAGGAAAAGCAAAGCCCCAAACCCTAATGGTACAAACAAAATCAAAGCATCTTCTAATTATCTAAACTGCACAGTAGCACGCAAGTGAAATAAAAAGAGATTTTGAAAGTTTGGAACGCTTCTGTACGTTACTTTGTTTAATTTCCCCTGTTCTTGTGCAGAATCCACATCCTTGTTCTGTTCTTTTTTTGATTTTTACAGGTACAATCCCCTTTGTATCTGTCTCTTCACGCAACCCCCTGCCTTAGTGGAAATTCAAATGGTGATTAAATAGCTAAGTAAATCCCATTTAAGCCTTCTTTTACCAGTGCCAAATGCTACTGGGTCAGTTACACTAGATAGCAAGGATGGGGACTGAAGGGGAGCACAAGGACTGGGTTTGGTGGCAGCAAACCTGGTCCTTCCTGGTCACCCACGAAAAGGCATGGGGCTCCCTCCAGCCACCAAGTTATCGTTTTTCTCCTTTGCACCACAGCTGGAAACCAGATTCTCTTTAAACTCACTATAAAAAAAGAGCAAACAAGCCAAACCTAATTTTTAGATCAGGGTAATTTTATGCTGCATTAGCTCAGCTAAGCTCCTTGCAGAGGGGTCCAACAAGCGCACGCGGCAGCACAAAGTACACACTGGGGACAGAAACGGATGGAAGAGCTGGATGCTCCTTCTTTTGCTGTCAGAGAGCTACTAAATCTGCTTACTGCATTCCTCTGTTGAAGCCAGGGCCTTAGGCAACAAGTCGTTCACTTATTTGTGACTTATTTGTCAATTACCGCAGCATTTCCCTAACTAGGGAATAAGTCTGCTTTCTCCACACTGATTCCTTTTTAGGAAAACCAAGCAAGACCCCTCATTCATTTCCTCACTATACTTTCTACGTGTTGCAAGAGCCCTGTTTTACTTTGGTATTTTAATCAAATTCAACTGTATTTCATCATGCACATTCCCTGCTTCACTGAAAAGTCCTGATTCCTCAGGGGACTAAAAACTTTTGGGGACTATTCCAGAATTAAGACACAATTTCGCTACAAAGGTTTGAGCCAAATGACTGCACAGCTGTAGGGGGCTTTTCTCTCCCAGCTGACTGGCGAGTTGCTGAGGCTTTGTGAGATTTCCCTAATAGGCAACTCTTCTTCTTCTTTTTCTGTTTTAATGAATGGCAAAAGAGTTAGCTCAGGGCCATTTAGAGCACCAACACTGGCAACTGTGCTGGAAGCCACTGAAATGACTGGGACAGCATCACAGAGCTATTGTTTCAGATGCTGCAAGTTTCCATTGAAATCACTTGAGTCATGCTTTTAATTCCTCCTCTTTCTTTTGCACTACAAGACCCTTTCTTTAAATAAGAGTTGAACTCTCAGAATAACTGGGGTATCCAATAATGTTTTCACTACTGAAATTTAAGGAACTTAAATTTAAGCACTTAACTTAAAAAAAAGCACTCTATGCTTTTTAATTTAATATCCCAATATTAACAGCACGTAAGTCAGCGATTCCTTAAACTACATCAAAATGTTTGCTTAACAAGAACTTTAAAAATAGAAAAATGGAAAGGTTTGCAAAAACCAGCCTTGTAGCTGCCAAAAGATACTGTGTAAGCACAAGGTTGGCATTACGCTAGTCTTGTATGCAGTCAAATCGATGATGCTTCTGATTTCTTTTGGCCCTATCTCTCTGCTAAAAAAGAACAAAAAACAACAAAAACCCCTCTAAACCAAAGGCTTCACTTACATAATTAGAAAAAGCTTAATTAATAAATTGTGTTAGCAGGAAATAGCTAAGTCAACTACCAAATAGCTTATTTTCATGTTATTTACCTTGATATAAATTACTCAGTTATTAATTACTAACAATTAAAACACAGTTTCAAACTGTTTATTCATCATGCTTCTTTCAGAACCCGAAAAATCCTTATGTAGAGGTTCTTCATGAATATAAAGTAGAAGAAAATCGAAACAATACTTAATATTTTATTGTTATTTATTTATAATTACATTGCACTAGAAGATTTTTCACTTACCAGTCAGCTATGCATCCTGTTATTAAGTGGCCGAAGATTAATCCTACCAGTAGAGAGAATTTAGCAATGTGGACTTTCCAGGCAGAATCACAAACAAGATCCCACTGGAAAAAAAACAAAAAAAAGACAGATAAACTAAAAAAAAAATTAGTTATTCTCAGATGTATCTAAACATACTAATGTTGGTGTAGAGCTTCTTCCAAATTTCGGTCCTAGCACGAGCGTGTGAAAATGGCAAAGGAATCCTTTCTCCCTCAAGTCAAAACCCAGATCCCAGGAAGCAAATTAAAGACTCTTTTACTTCACTAAGTTTTATCGTGTCCTTAATTATAAAATGACAATATCCAAGGCTTAAGTCTCCCCCTCTCCAGGCCACATGAGTTCAGACACTGGCAGCACTGATGTAGCTGAGCGTCTCACCATGGCAGCCCCAGACATCTACCAGAGACCCACGAAGCCCATCAGCAGCGACGTCAACAATTTAAGACCAAGTTCTCCTGTTGACCTCCTCAGGCCACTCAGAAACATGTGGAAAAGCCATCAGCTCCAGGCTCCCATGGACAAAGCATCAAGACATTTCTGCTTTCAGAAAAGCATCCTGGTTTGCTAGGCAGAGGAAGGGGATGAAGACTAACTAACAGCACAGCTCATCAGGCCAGGTCTGAAAAGCCAAGTCCTGGCATGGAGCCAGACAGGGCAGCCAGAGAGCCCAGCACGGCCATGCGACATCTTGGGACAGCAGCACCCACAGTGACATTTCACAGTTCAGAGATCAAACAGGGGCTGAACCTCCACAATAAAGCTATCCCTGATACTGACATTCATAGAAACATAGAACAGTGTGGGCTGGAAGGGACCTTAAAGATCATCTCATTCCAATCCCCCTGCCATGGGCAGGGACTGCTTCCACTATACGTTGTTGCTCAAAGCCTCATCCAACCTGGCCTGGAACACTTCCAGGGATGGGGCATCCACAACTTCTCTGGGAAACCAGTTCCAGAGCCTCACCACCCTCAGAGTGAAAAATTTTTTTCCTTATCTCTAATCTAAATCTACCTTCTTTCAGTTTAAAGTTATTACCCCTTGTCCTATCACTACAAGCCCTTGTAAAAAGTCCCTCTTCAGCTTTCTCTTGTAGTCCCCCTTTAGGTACTGGAAGGCTGCTAGAAGGTGTTCCTGGGGCCTCCTCTTCTGGCTTAACAACCCCAAGTGTCTCAGCCTGTCTTCATAGGAGAGGTGCTCCAGCCCTCGGATCATCTTGATGGCCCTCCTCTGGACTCACTCCAACAAGTCCATGTCCTTCTTATATTGGAAGCCCAGGAGCTGAACACAGTGCTTTGGACTTTCTGTCCAAAGAAAGAGAAAATAAACCCTTTCAGGCACCCTGTCATTAGAGCACTGCCTCATTCCCATGAGAAAGATGGCAACAGCAAGGTTTCTAGTAAGGCTTCCCTAAACTTCATGACATTTTCCTCTGAGGCATTAGACTGAGCCTCAGGAAAGCCAGGCTGCATTCCTGGCTTTAGCCCAACATCCTCATTGCCCTCAGACATGTAACTTAATCTCCCTTATGTGTAAAGTGTGGATAGTACTATTATACCCTTGAATAAATGTAGGAAGATATGTTTGTTCGTGGTTTGTGAAGCGTTCAAATATTGATGGTAATGGGAGCCATACACGTTTCATGAAAAATAAGTACAGCTAACTTTGGAGAGTCAGATACTCCAGAACTGAAACTTTGCAGAATAAATGGCTGTTCGTGTGTAATGTGATAGCAGCAGCCCTCCTGACACCACAAGCTGAAGTTTCATGGCCAAAAACGCCAAGTAAAAAGTATGCAATTTATGTTCAAAAGTCAGATGCAACTTCAAAAGAAAGCTTCCCTCAGAAGAGTTCAATTAGGTGTGCTGTACTTTTAAGCATTTCCATGACTTACAGCCCTTCCACAAGTACGGCTAGTGCTGACTCAGCCCTCTGGTTCAACATCCCAGGAGACGTCTTCCCTACAATATACCATCTCACCAAGAAGTATAGCACTTTTGTGGCCAAAAGAAACATGCCAGCTTTCAGGCTCAGGCTTTTTGTATTAGTTAAATGTATTTTTTAGTTCCTCACCACACTGACTTGCAGAACTCAGGGCATGTATGTCTGATCCTCCAACCTACAGACCAAAGGCTCTAAGGAACCAAAAGCAAGTAGTATGAGCAAGTATTTTTTCCACCAAATAGCTATTAATTATTTGTGGTAAACAGCTCAGCAAGGCAGTGAGAATTGCTCTCCAAAGACGCTGACTTTTTTAGAAGTATTTAGCAAGTGAGGGAAATGCAATTCCTAATACTTGCAATTATAGAACCAATCTACAGTTAGCAAGGAAAAATATCTGCCCAGATAAGCCGCAAACAAAACAAAATTCAGGAGGTACATCTGAGCTCCAGGCAGGCTTTCAAATGCTCTGAGTTTATTTTCACAATTCAGAAGGTGTATATGCTGCTTAAAAATGAGAAATCATTTTTGTTTGTAGAGTACAAATTAAATTTATTAAAAAGTCATGTTTATTCAAGAACACTTTTTAAAAGGCAATCTCTGCAAGTTGATAATTTTTAATTTTATTGCTGACAGAGGAATGGTGTTCTCATCCAAGTGCAAAAAGAAAAAGCAGATAACCTGGTGCTTTTTCATTTTCACAGCTCACTATTGCTGGTCAAAAAGAGCCAGCCCTTGCATAAGCCCCGGGCAGAGAACGTGCAGTGCCAGATTATACGTAGGTTCACGGTTGGAAGAGTCAAAATCTCATGAAGGGCTGTTGTGAAATTTCAGGCTGGGACAACAGATGTCAAACCACTTTGGCCCACTTGCACACAAAGACTTTAAAAGCAGAAGAAAAGTCAATCTATCAGCACGTCCTTCGGGCGCTGCCTAAAATGCACCCGCTCCTGATAACTTATCTGCGAGTCATCATTTGTTTGTTTGTTTTTAAGGCTCTTACCCAACTCCCCAGCTGCTTGGAAAAATAAACACATTTATTTCCTTGCAAATCTTGCATTTGGCCCTTTCCTGCCCTGGGTTAAGCATTCTCTCTGCAGGCCAGTGCAAATGGGAGCCGATTCCCCCGAGCCCAGAAGATCAGCCCAGCACGGGTGCTGACAAACACAGGCAGCCCCTGACCTTCTCTCAATCTCTTGCTCTCCAAAACCCTCAGAATCCCTAAGCAGGGAAACGGTGAAATATTTCAACAGTTGCTTTAGCACAAACTTTCAGAGAATTTGCCACAACCCCAAATTACTTGCTGAGTACTAAGAACACAAGCATAGCCCAGTTTCTCCTCCGGCAGAGAGAGACCGCTGTGAAGCATTTATCCAAAATAAATTCGGCAGGAGAGTGGTGGGTACCACCGGGACGTTTGACTTGCAGAGAGACAAGAATAAGGAGAGGGCACAAAAGGAAAAGGGGATGCTGCAGTCAAAAGCAGACTCGGGTAAAGATGACAGTAATAGGACAACGTACATATTTAATAGCCAGCATTTTGTCCCCACCCATCTCAACACGGCAGCAGAGCAAACCAGCAAGGCTTCGTCATGCTGAAAGGGCAGGAATTTTGCCAGAGACCTGCACTCCCCCTTCCCTTCCCCACGGAAAAGCCCAAGGCAGAGGAATGAAGCCTCAGCTTTGAAGAGCTAGAAGTAAAGTGGGAACCATCGTACGGCCCCGACGCTGCCTCTCCCCTTACGTACACCTGGGCTGGGCAGAGCAGAGCGCATTCGACGTTATCCGACGTGTGCCCGCACGGCACGGCAGCGCCCGGAGCTGCGGCAGGTCCCGCTGTCAGCGCCGGTAATTTCATCCCACAAACGTGACACCCACATTTGCTCCACAGGGAAAGGAGCGACAGGATTCCACATCCCTGCAGAACAAAACGCTGGGCTGGGCAGCGCTGATGACAGCTCAAGTGGCACTCCGAGTAAATACGAGCTGGGAGATTGTTTTGGCTGGAGACTAGGCAGTAATCCTCTGCCACCTCTTGCAAAAGGTAGATTAATCTGTTACAAGCAGAGACACCATTAAATCCTGTAACGCTCTGGCTGAATCCCCTGCTGTCCCACTTAGGAGTTAACAGCACCCAGCCTGAAGGAAGGGTGCTGCTAAATTTACAGCGCTCCCCGGGATTTCTCTTTGTGTCCCTGGGTTTTGGCTGCCTTCCTGTCCTCCGTCCATCCTCCTAATGCAAGAGATCTGACAAAGTGCTGTATTGTTATGCTGAAACAAAAATAACTGTATATAAAATACGTTGGTGGAAAGGAAACACCTAAAAAACAAAAGCTTTTTTTTTTTTTCCATAATAGTACAGCAATGGAGAGAATTTGCCACCTGTGCAGATGTGCAATACATTGCAATGTTTTTTTCATGTTGTGACAGCATTTTTTTTTTGCCAACGCTTAAGGAGTGACACCTTCAGGATCCTAATGTTTAATTGATATCGGTGAGTCACCTCCCGTGCTGTGAGTCACCAAGTCCTCCATCTTGACGTGAAGCAATTTGAAACACGAGATGCTCGGGGAGACATCTGGAAAAAGGTAATGTGCCCCAAGAGTAACCATCCTGTAACTTCTTTACGAGGGGTGAAAATCTGGACCGGGCTCCTGCAGTGAGTCAGTTTTTGCACTGAAGTCACATTATAGAAGTCACAAATGTAAAGTCTGTTGCATGTTTATTACTACAAACGCAAGCTGTCTCAATTAAGGGCTCCTGCCTTGAAAGCTCTTGTCCTCCAGAGGCCATGATGCTGTCTGCGGCGTCTAACCACACTGAATATCCACTGCAAAAAGGTCATTATAAGATGCCTACTAGGGATTTGGGTTGTTCTACCTTCACTCTGATTGCACGGAGAAGTGCAAAGCAGACCCTTCTGCCCTGAAAAGAGCAAAGAGACAGGATGAGAGATGCTCTGATCCAATGTCTGCCCAGAGCCTAGCACAGAGAGCTCATTAGAGGAGATCAGGACACGCACACCTTCTCCCCACACCATAGGTTCACAGTCCATTTCCAACAACCGATGCCCAAGACCGCTCCTGAAAGCGAGCAGACCCTTCCCCAAACTGTCTGCAGG